ACAACACATTTGAAGTGTTGCCAAAAGCCACTTTTCTCGTAGTGTGATTTTATGAACTTGTGAGCTATTCTTTATTATTGTTAAGTGTTAAGTAAGTTATCAATCATTTGAAGGTAGAAGTTTTGTAAAACAACTATTTCATTCATTATTTAGTACAAAATGTTACTTTTACTTCCAACGCTTAACACACTTAGACAACGCCTAGATGGGTTAATTAGGCGCTAAGCAATGCACCAATACTCACATTACGTCTAACGTCTTCTTGAACTTAGAGACTCACAGGAAATATGTATATATATCGTATTCCTACCATTTTATAAATAATTTCATATATAGTGGCCATGTTTAGTTCAACAACACCAGCAGACAAGGTGGGTACGTGTATATATATTTTGTGCATGAACGTATGGGAGGAGGATCATCTCTGGATAAGAGCCCTTCAATTTGTTAAATTTGTGTGCATAGGTCATGTGTCTTCTGGCACCTCAAAGGAGGGAAAAAATAGGTATATACCTCCGTCCAGGGATGGCAATGGGTAGGGTCGGGTGCGGGTTTACCCTATACCAACTCCTAACCCGCCGGGTAGAGCCTTCTAAAATACCCGACCAAATAACCACCGGGTATGAAAATTATATAACCATACCCTACCCACCGGGTAACCACGGGCATTCGGGTAACCATGGGTACGAATCCTAAACTATGAACTTATACACATATATGCACGTACATACTGTTGTGTTGTCCATTAAAAATTCTCAATACTTGTAACTGTTCTAGCTTCAACAATCCACACAAATAAAAATAGCAAACACATAATAATTATTTTTGCTTCTACAATCCACACAAACATAATAATCGTCTACATCTTCATCATCAATAATGGTAGATAAACTCAATTTCTCAAGCTAATCTAAATTTCCCAAGGGAAATTGACCATTTGGTTAGCGGGGTGGGTATAACGGGGCGGGTATTATCGATTACCATACCCGTACCCTACCCTTTATTTTGAAACCGGGTATTACCCGTACCCGCCCCTTAACCCGTCAAAGCGGGTAATTACCCTCGTTGACCGGTTACGGTCGGGTAGGGTACCCATGGTTACGGATTGGATTGACATCCCTACCTCCATCCATCAAGTAAAAAAGTACTTATTTTTACCCAAAAGAGTAAAAGGTACTTACCGACAAACGAATTTTAAATGAGTACTGAATGTGCATTTATAATTTGTTGGGGCTCCCTGCCCTACACCATATAGGTTCTCCAAATATCAGTTTTGATACCTAAGGTTTTTTTATACTGAAATTTTCGACTCGTAAAGGCAAGAACACATCGTCAGACGTTACTGATCGTTGCCTTCTCATTCAGGCTTGCAAAGTGCGGCGCGGGCTATATATTTACACTAGGTGGCGATGCCGCGCCTTGTTCCGGAGTGGAGATGGCCTATGCGCATGTATTAAGTGGCCCGTTATGGTGTTCTGTTAGTATTATTGGCCTAATTTTTTTTTTGTTAGCAGTTTAGTTAGTAATATTGATTGAGAAGAGATATATGGCAATCAACATCCAATTTAAATTTGTTTGAAAATTTTGGTTAATAAATGATATTTACCTAAACCCTAGTAGACTCATTGATTATGAATAGGGTATGGGTGACGTAATGTTCCAAAATGTAATACACAAAAGTTTTAGGTACTAAAATGTAATGTTTCATCAATATTTTGAGGACTTATATGCCAAATAAAATAAATTTAGGTTATAAATCTAAAGATTTATTAAGTTTAGGTACAAACTGGAACTGCTTAAAATTTCACGTCTTCAAATCTCATAGTGGAAAATGACGACTTTCTAATGAGTAATAACCATATATATTTATTTTTAATTGGACTTGACATTGAGCTGAAAAAGTTAGTGGTCATGGTTCAATTATTAATTCTCTAGACTGTTGGTGAGTCGTGTATGGACCCGTTCATATTTGTGATTAGAATACATAATATACTAATTAGGGTTACACGAAGAAGACAAAGAAAGAAATACATAAAGGGTTATGGAAGGAGAGTGAAAATTGAAATGAAGAGGAAGTAGACGATGGAAGGTTTTGATCAATTCTTTTAGTTTGCCGTCAATACAACAATCAACCCTTTCCACTGTAGCAATTTATTGACACTTGCTTATATAGATGTCACATATTTTGTTACATGTAGTTGGTAGAAGTTTGTTTAGTACCTCGTAAATGTACTAAATGAGTTTATAAATTCACTCTTGCTATATTATTGAGTCGTCTCTTTTTTATCATTTATTTAATATTTCAAGTTATGAGCAAATATAAAAGGGTTGAGTCTTCTCCTACAGTTGAGTAATACAACTTCTTGTATTGTACAGACTAAATGTGTACTTTTATATTATGGTGGATTGGATTCATGAATTGGTTCATGATGGACCCGGTATTCACCTGCTTCACTTGCCTATTGAAATAAAATATGTTTACCCTAATTATTATTAAAAATTATTAAATATATTATATCTTATTATATTACATAAGAATATGATTATTATTACTATATGATTATTATTGTTTATCTTATTTTCCTTCACTTTCCTTTACTTTCATACACATTCTTATACTTTCATACACATTCCTACACTTTCCTACATTTTCATACACATTCCTACACTTTCATACACATTCCTATCAGTGGCGGACCCAGAAATTTTTCATAGGGGTGTCCTCTTTTAAAAAATAAATTAAATACAAATACAAATAATTGATAAAAATAAAATTGTAAATATGAAAATACCTTACTCGTATATGTTAAAAAAGTCCATGATATGTTTTCATATTCGAAAATAATTGTAGAATACACTTGGTGTCTATAGTGTTAAAAAAAAATTGTCTCTATATACACTGCTAGCTAGACAATCATTCACGAACTTATCGCATATTCGATTTGTAAACTTGTTCTTCATGTAACCCAAAGCTGAAAAACTTTTTCAACACTTGCCGTACAATCATAAAATCAATACAAATTAAGGGCAGTTTGAAATTAGTTTAATTGTTAGGTTTTTAGAATAATTAGAGATAGGGAATGCAATTTTACTATTACACATTGTTCAAAATCGAACAACAAATGAGTTTAGCTCAACAGAAATTAAGTTTATTAATAATAATAGTGTTCTAGATTTGAATTATCCAACCTACCACTTATATTCTTATACACAAATGATAGTAGAATAATCATTTTTTCAAATTTAAGAGGTGTCCCTCACTATCATTTTTTTTTGTCTATACGTAAATTACCACCGAGGGTTGAATAATCGTTTTCCCAAAATTTAGGGGTGTCCGGGGACACCCCTAAACCTCCCTGGGTCCGCCCCTGATTCCTATACATTCATACACTTTCCTACATTTTCCTCCTCTTTCTTTCATTTTCTTACATATTCATTTACTTACGTACATATTCATGCATATACATGCATATACGTAAAATGTTTCTCGTTTACATTACCCATACTCCTTTATTTTCCCTTATATACTTACACTTTCTCATACTTTCCCATACACACTTGGATATTCTCATATACCATGATTATTGAGAAATGTTGGTGTATGACGGAGAATGTTAAAGTATAACGGAGAATATTGGCGAGTATTGGGGAATAACGGAGAATGTTGATGAAAGTTAACGTAAGTCGAGGAATTCAACTACGATTTTTCCCTATAAATAGGGAGCACCCCTTCCCCTTTCAAAAGACAACAAGTCACACACAACATAAGTCCCTCCACACACCACGACTCACACTCTCTCTACTTTCTCTCTCTAAAAACGTTTTCTCTCTCCTCCCGATTTCCCAAAACGTGTTAAACCTCTAAACACTCAACACACCCTCAATTTGGTGGACTAAGCCATGGAATCGTGGATAGCCTCCACCGGGCGGCATTAAATAGCCGACGGCGGTCAATTACGACCGTGGGACCGAACCAGGTCTAACGTCATCGTATTTATTTTATTCCCTTCAGGTTACTAATTTGAGCGTCAGAGGAGGTTCCAACCAGGACTCCCCCGGTGGGACCTTTTTTTCCAGGTATTCGCACGAAGCTGGAGGTGGTTAAAGGCTTTGGGAAATCAGCGCTCTCCGGACCTTAAACATATTGAAGCAGGCTGCTCTAAGCTTGACATCAACAGTTCAAAAGAATTAGTGGATTGTTATTCATGGATTCAAATGAAATCTAAACATTGACCAATATGTATATTTAAAAAAATTCTAGGTACGAAAAATCTCATTAAATTTAGATACCAAACATAATTGTTTAATCGTTTTATATTAAAAATTAAATTTGGGTATCAAAATATAAAATATACATTAGAGTGACTAATTTATGATTTAATTAAATTGGGATATTAGGTATGAAAATCTCATAAAATTGAGATACCAAACATAATTCATAAAATTTAGATACCAAATATAATTGTTCAATGATTTTACATTAAAATTAAATTTGGATTACTAAATGTAAAATGTATATTATAGTGATTAAATTGTAATTTAATTAAATTTGGGATATCAAAACGTAAATAGTTATGCAACAATAATCCAACTTCATGTTTATATATATTGAATTTAATTAAATTTGCAGTATCAAAACGTAAATAGTTATGCAACAGTAACCAACTTCATGTTTATATATATTGGGGTTATTTTCAGGAATATTGTTTTTTTTTATTTACCACGAATATAGTGGTTTTAAAACTATTTACAGGAATATTGTGTTTTTTGATATGTTGAAAGCGCCGAAGCTCCAGTCCGGGGCGCCGGCGCTAGGTGCTTTTTTAAAAAAAAAACTCGGCGCCGGCGCCCCGGACTGGGGCTTTGGCGCTTTTGAGAAAGAAAAAGCATCGGCGCCCCAGATTGGGGCTTCGTCGCTGCCATTTTTTCCCACTCCAGCACTACCCATTCCATATATATACTGCACCTTTCCTTCGGTTCTTCATCACCAAAAAACTGAAAGAAGTTCTGAGAGAAGCTCTGGTGTTGCTGTCTGGTTGCTGGGAAGATGGCTAATAACAGGTAAGAGTCGTAATTTTTTTTCCCCATGTATTCATCATAATGATTTTGTCCAATTAGTAATTAGAGTTTGTTTTTAATGTAGTGGTTTTAGGAGATTTGAACTAGCTGTTCGGTGGCGATCAGAGAAAGTAGAAGACAATTTGGGTGTCCATTTTGTTGGTGGTTTAAGTTTCCAGATGACTATTCCATCCAGGGTGAACTATCAGAAACTTTGTGATCATCTAATTCGGAGAATACGGATTAGAGACGAAACAGTACAAGATAGTGTTGTGATTACAGGTTTCACCTACTGTCTTCCAGAATGGCAGAATGGTGTTTTATTTCATCATGCAATGCCTATTGTCGATGATGATAGCTTAAATGTGCTTTGAAATTTTATGGCACAAAATTCTTATTGTTTGGGTGCTGAGATACATGCTGAGCTCAGTGAGGATCGGGATGGAGAGGAAGACGATGATGACGGTGATGATACATGGAGCGTGCCATCCGATCCTGCCTTTGATGACGATGATGACGAAGAGGAGGAAGATGAGGAGGAGGAGGAAGATGAGGAGGAGGAGGAGGAGGACGACGACGGGGAGGGAGGAGAACTACCTAATTATCCTCCATATTTTTACTTGCAGGGTAATGAAGAGGACGAGGAATTATCATATGCTGATTCATATGGCGTAATTCCAGGGTCTACTGTTGGTGGTTTTGATGGAGAATTCTACAAGGGGCAGATATTTCACTCGAAACAAGCTGCACAGGTGGCGATTAAGCACTATGCACTACAACGCAACTTTCAGTATAACGTGGTGGAGTCGTCACCTTCAATCTGGAAGATCAGATGTTTGATGCACAAGGAGGACAAATGTCCTTGGATGGTGCGGTTTGGATGTCGAGATGTGGGAGGCGATTGGAGCGTGAGAAAGGTCGAGTTGGTGCATACTTGTAGCAGTACGACTCAACCGACGGATCATCGCCATCTTGATGTCGACGTGATATCTGAGGCCGTCAAACATTTGGTACGTGCCCAACCAAATCTGAGTGTTCTAACTGTGCAAGCCGAGTTGAAAGATAAGTTTAATATGCAAGTTACTTACAAGAAGGCTTGGTATGGGAAACAAAGAGCATTGGAGAAGTTGCATGGAAATTGGGAAGAATCCTATGATTTTTTGCAGACATTCTTGCGGGTGGTCAAGAGAAAAATGCCAACATCGGTGATTGATTGGGTAAGAGTTCCTTCGACTCAACCAGGTCATTCGATATTTCAGCGAGTATTTTGGGCTTATGGACCTTGTATAGATGGATTCAAGTATTGTCCAGGCGTCATGGTTGTTGATGGGACATTTCTTACTGGGAAGTATAAAGGAGTGCTACTCATGGCGAGCTCATTTGATGGCCGGAAGAAGATTTTTCCAATTGCATTTGCCATAGTGGAGAGTGAGAATACTGATAGTTGGCCATGGTTCATACGTCACGTTCAGGGTTTGACTGATCGAAATGATGTATGCATCATCTCAGATAGACATGCAGGACTCTATGAAGCCATGAATAACATCGGAAGAGGTTGGGAGTGGAGGTGGTGCATGCGACACTATGCAAGCAATTTGCAAAGGAAGACTAAAAGCAGAATTATGTATAAGCAACTATTTCGAGTCGGTAAGCCTTCTTCATTTAATTTTGTTATTTATTTTTAGGTAAGTTTGTCATGAATTTATCTAACCCGTGTGGTTGATTATTTTGTTAGCCGGAGAAAAACGCTTGGAGAAGTTCGATCGTCAAGTTGAGCAATTTAAGAAGGTGGCCACTGATAGAAATATTTCATGTGATAACTGGGTGGACCAACATCAGATTCGTTGGAGTTTAGCACATGATAACTTCAATGGTGGGCGTCGTTGGTCTATCCTGACATCCAACATGGCAGAAAGCATCAATGGTGTTTTCAAAGGTATTCGTGCACTTCCTATAGCTTCTCTTGTGCAACATACCTATTGGCGATTGGTGGAGAAATTCGATAAGTACAGGTTGGAGACAGGAGCAGAAATTAGGAGTGGTCCTTCACAGTACTCCACCAACTGCGAAGAACTGATGAAGCCGTGGTCACAAAAGGCAGTTGGGCATTCTGTGACAGCTCTTGATCGAAGTCAAGGCATCTATGTAGTTCAGACTCCCCCCAACAATTTCAACATGACGGGGTCAAACACACTCACAGTGCACTTTGACGACCACAACCGGACGGGATTTTGCACTTGTGGGAAATTTCAAGGAAATAAAATTCCTTGCTCTCATGCCATTGCAGCTTGCAACCGAATGGGAGCCCATCCATATAGGTTTGTAAACGACGTCTACAAGCTTCGAACAGTGCTTGCTTGTTATGGGACAAGTTTCTCTCCTCTTGGTGAACCTAAGGGTTGGAAGAAGCATAATGACACTACTCTCCATCCTAATCTGGACATGATTAGAAAGCCGGGGAGACCAAGATCAACACGAATTCACAACGAGATGGATTGGCCAAGGGAGGGTTCATCACAGCAAGTGTGTAGCAACTGTAACCAAGCGGGACATAATGCATCTAAAAACAATTAAAACACAAATTTTAATTACTAAAAAAACTCACCGCTGCGTTCAGTGCAGCAACTCTCCGTGTGCCTGAACGTCTAGTGACATCTCTATACCACTCTTGATGCTCCGAGTGGTAAGCTAATTCCACGTCACTATAGCTCGTCTGCGCTACGAACTCATGTCGACGGTTCCACAACTCAATCGACTCGCTGGCTGCCTGTAAGAACTGCTGGCCACGTGATGGTCCATGCTGTCCCACACAAAGAAAAAATCTAATCTCAGCCGCGGAATGTGGAGGATGAGGCCGGTCATGAACCATTCCAAACTGTCCTAGCATGCGATCTGGATGATGCCACATCTGCGATGAGAAGCAGATCAGCGGAACTACTGCTCGAAACGTGTGGGACTGGATCACAGTACCGCTGTAGTCCTGACCTCTATGAAAGTACGGACGCCACTGCACACAAGGATTGGTCACATAATTACTCCTAAATCTATAATAAATCAATTAAAACTATTCTATAAAACGAAATGTTATATACTAACCACGAATGTCGTGCACTCGTCAAACCACAGCTTGTACAAGTAGAACTGATCTCCATGCTGACGGGTCTGGGCCGGAAGCCACCGAATGCCACGTGGCACTGCGTCCTGAGTAATCTGCGCACCCGTCACCGCATGTAGTGGTGATGTATGAGGAAACCGCTCCCACGTCCAGAGCATCAGCAAGGCGGCCCATCCACCAAAGTCACCACCCAGTGAAGAAGATGCCGTCATCTGCAGCGCCGATCTACCCATCTCACGGTACAAGTAGGATAGCACAGCTGCTCCCCAAGCAAACCTCCCCGCTCTGCGCCAATCCTCTACCAAAAGTAGATACTGCAGGTGAACTGAACCTCCAGACCGATCGGAGAACAAGACACCTCCCATCAGAGACAGCGCATACGCTCTAGCATACTGCTCTGTCGTCTCTGGTGATGCAGAAAGCGGTAGCTCATCGAAAGTCTCCCTGAGCCAAGTAATCCGGATGACGCCGCCACCAAGATCAGTAGGAGCCTGTCCTAACAGTCGAAGACACATAGCCGACCAGTCCTCGTCTGGTATGTCTACTATGACGGCATCACCGTCGATCGCTAATCCAGTGAGTGTCGCAACGTCCTCTAGAGTGATCGTCACCTCACCGAACGGCATGTGAAATGTCGATGTCTCGGGTCTCCAACGCTCTACGAGCGCAGTAATCAAACCCGGATCACCGGTAAGAGGGGCTAGTGGCAGAACACTAGACAAGCCGGCATCGACGAGATACGGCAGGTACAGTGGATTGTATCGAACTAAATTGCCCGTATGACGAATGTGGTATGGTCGATCACCAGCCTATAATTAATTAATGCACAAAACTATATTAATTCAATTCCTTCAATTCAATTCACCTAATATTTATATTTATATATATAAACTAAACTTATTCTAATATAATATTCTTAATTTAATCTAATAATATTCTTAATTTAATTTAATCTAATTCTATTCTTAATTTAATTCTATTCGTCTAATTTAATTTAATTTAATTCTATTCTATTCTATTTCTATTATACAGCTAATAAAAAAACTATAGAAATAATTTAATTTAAAAAACTTACCTCATTTGCCCAAACTGCGTCAATCCGATGGTGACCATGCCCCCAAAGAAGTTCCGGATCATTCGGAGCAGTATCGATTGTCGTAGGTGGTGGTCTCATCGAACAAGGATCGATAAGCCTAGGAACTGGAAAAAAAATATTAGAACACAAAAAAAAAAAGTCGCCGGAAAAAAGTCGCCGCTGGCGAGAAGCCGCCGGCCGCCGGCAGGACTCACTCCGGTAACGTTCGTCGCCGCCGCCACCGCCGCCACGCCGGCCTCGCCGGCCTCGGCCTCTTCCTCTGCCGCCGGGGGCGTGCTCGTCGTCCGACATAGCGCCGCCGCTGTGGTTGGTGCGCCTTCGCCTTGTGCCGCGCGCCGCCGCCTGGGACTGGGGCTCCGCCGCCTTTCTCTCGGCGTCGCCGCTCTGGTTCTCGGCGTCGCCGCTCGTTCTCGGCGCTGGGATGGAGAGGAGGAGTGGAGAGGGGATGGGGGTCTGTGGTCTGGTGTGGTGCGAGAGGGAGGGGGAGGAAGGGGGTAAAAAAAATAAAATTGATAGCGACGGCGCCCAGGTCTCGCTTTGGCGCCTTTGAAATTTTTTGAAAATTTCAAAGGCGCCAAAGCGAGACCTGGGCGCCGTCGCTATCAACAGCCTTTAAAACTCCAATATTTGAGTCTCGGGCGCCGTCGCCCACTTCCTTTCTAAAAACACAATATTCATGTAAATAGTTTTAAAACTACTATATTCGTGGTAAATTAAAAAAAATACAATATTCATGGAATTAACCCTATATATTGCTTTTTCGTCAGACAAATTGTTTGGTTGATGTGCTCAATACTTTTTCATTTTATTGACTCCCCAAAAGAAATTAGGTTTACGATAAATTTCAAGAGGAACAATGTAAGAACAAAAGGAATTAGGCAAATGTTTTTAATTACCGAAAAAAATTAGGTTTATGTTTTTCTTAACAATGATATAGCTAATTTTTTCTGTTGGAAGGTATTTTTTTATATAGTTTGATCACGTTCGCCATGTATATTAATTTCTTTGAACAATGTTTAGCAACACGGTTCAAACGAGGGTGTTTGATAAGA